TTATTATTTTATTATTTAACATTCCATTTCTAACAAACAAAAAAATTTTTTTTAATATTAAAATTTAATCTGTAATATTAAAATTTTATCAGAACTTGTATCAATATAGCAAATAAAATTGCACTTTATACATATATTTTGTCTATGTTATATTGTAATAGAGGAAAGTCCGATATATCACTTTGTTTTTAGACAATATTTCTTAAACAAAAAGGTAAAAATAAAACTTTAAATCATAAGTACAAACTAAAAAGCTTCCATCATATAATGTAAACAATTTTTATAATACTGTTTACAATTATGCAATAATTAATTTTTTCGTAAGATAAGCAAAAATGAGCTACCTATTCTGACAAAATAGGCAATAATGCTACGTATTCCTATGCTTTTTTTATTTACAGGAATTATATGTATAAAGTACTTACAAGTGAATATATAAAAGATGTTCTAAATTTTTTACACTTCGTTATGAAATTTTATTGAATTATATATCTACTTTATGCTGTTCTATAAGATGCAAATATGTAACATGAGTTTTTCAAGAATTTTTCCATATATGTACGAATGTCTTTAATTCCAATAGTTATTTGACAATATAAAGCAACATTAGCAATCTCATGATCAATTTTACAGGCAGGTGTGGCAATTTACACTTACTGCGCTCCCAATTTTAAATTTAAAATTGTATTATAAAAAATTAAGAGAAAAAATATTTGAAATAAAACTAATTTAAGAAATTATAAGCATTTAAAATAACGTAATATTATCAATAATGTGATTACTATTATTTAAACTACGTAATTTGCAAAAGAAAGAATCGTAAGAATTTTATTTTCGTAAAATTTGTTTTTACCTGATTTAGTAGTAGAAACAGACCACAAATACACAAATTACGAATTTGTACTTCTTTAATTAGCTAAACAGATCATGATTTTATTAGTATTAATAAAGTGCAATTAGTTTCTGAAAAATAAGAGAGTGTCACTTTAAGACCTATGTCAATATCGGCGACTTTCCTCTAAATACATATAAAAATGTATTTACTTATAAAGGACAGTGTATATAATCAGAAAGATTTCTCTCTGGTGTAATTGACAAATACGAATAATTATTTAAAATTCGAATAACTGATTAATAATTACAATAAGGACAATTTTGTACACTGATACATACAATATATATGTACTCATAATGAGATTATAACATATATTCAATGTTAATTATATATAAACACAACGATATTACATATTAGAAAAATCTTACGTCATTATTTAAAATTGTATTATTTCTAACAAATAAAGAGAACATTTTTTATGTTTACAGTAATAAAATTTTAATTTCATTAATTTGTATTAATACCTCCATATTAATATGGATGAATTTTTCATTCATAGTAAAAAACATTTCGTATTTGTATTAGAAACGGTTCATTGATCAAGTTCTTGTTAAACTTTGTATAGAATTTTTTAACATTTTTCAATGTTAAGTTAATTTAACATAATGTGATTATATGTTATTTAAATAATTTATGTTAAATCGATATTCAACATTTCTTAATATCAAAACAGTATAATTTATGAATAAGTGAACAAATAACATAAAGATAATGTGTTTTAAAACATAAATTCTAAGATATGAATAAAATATGTGTTAATTTAACACATCATAATGTGATCACTATTATTTAAACTACGTAATTTGCAAAAGAAAGTCGTAAGAATTTTATTTTCGTAAAATTTGTTTTTACCTGATTTAGTATAGACCAAACAGGCCACAAATACACAAATTACGATAATTATTTGTGTATTTGTTTAATTTTACTGAAAAAAAATGCTTCCTCTGTTTGTTTACAAACTATGTCAGTATTACTTTTTATTTCATTTATTTTCTTAAATAATGTTTGTGTTACTTTCTAACATATTCATCTTATGTTAAATTAACACATAAATTTGAATGGACAATTTGAGACATGTGAAATGTGTAAAATTTCAACACCTTTTTCTCCGGGGTATTCGTATCTCATATATATATATATATATATATTGAAAAATTTTAATTGATTTAAATTGATTTAAATCAAATTAATAGTGAGATTTTGAGGTAAATTCTCAAAATATTTAACATTAAGATATTCTAGTGAATTTTTCATTAAATATATTGTTATCAATGGCAACGTATTCGTCAATGGCAAAGACTCTAGCGAAGTGAATTTATTATCGCTTAAGTCCAAATATTTTAAAGATATAAGGGATTTTGTCCACCCTTCCGGCAAAGAACTTAACATATTCCTCGATAAATCTAATTCTTCTAGGACAATAAGATGAACGAATGCATTAACATCTATTTTATCAATCTGATTCATTCCCATTAATAATTTTATCAATTTTGGCATATACACGAAAGTATGCGAAATTATTTTCTTTATGTTGTTGTTATTAATACACAAAGTGCTAATTTCTGTTTCATTTGAGATTTGCGGAACATTCTCGAGTTGGTTGATACTTAGATCCAATGTTTCTAAATACTGCAAATTTGCAAATGTCTTCGGATGTAGATAATGTATGTCATTTGAGGATAAATTCAAAAAAAGCAATTCGTTATTGTCTCGAAAAGCATCTGATTCGATAGTATTAATCTCGTTTCTGGAAACAGAAAGATAGTGTAGATTCTTCAGACCAGCCATCGATAAAGTCTTACTGTATCCGTTGTACTGTTGAATATTGTTAAAATTATTTTCATCCAAATTTAGTGCGAACAATTTCTTCCCTTTTTCGTTTAAGTTCAAGTTACTAAGCGAATTGCCGTGAAGATCAAGAAAGTATAAGCTGTTTGACAATAGTTGTACAAAATTGGTTCTTCTCATGTTATTTTCAGAAAGATCCAGGATCTTTAACTTGGGGAATGACATCCAGTTTTGCGATATCATCGGCGTCGTATAAGTAAAATGGGATTCCATAAATGGATTTTCCTGTACAAACACTAAATCGTTAAAACAATTTTTACGTAGAGATAAAATTTCTAAGTTAGGATATTCGCCGAAAATCTGTATTACATCATCATTGTAACATTCAAAATAGCTTGCATAATTCATAATAAGCACTTGTAACTTATCGTGACTTCCAAAGTCAAGAAATTCACTTTTACTACGCAATCTATTGCTCGAAAAAAACAATTGAGTTAAATTTGGCAATTTTTCGAAGGCACCTCTCCCAATTTTCTCAATACTATTGTTCATAAGATTGAGGCAGGACTGCTGATGAAATCCCGCTTGATTTCAGAGATCACAGCGTTTGAGAAGTTTAAAGAAATGTCATCATTACATAGAGATTGAAGCGATTCGTCCATGTAGTTTTCTATGGCAAAATAAACATCGTTTGCTATTGATAATGTACGAGTAGACCAGCAAAAGAAAGTGACGAAAGCAATCTTTGTGATGGTTAATTTTTGTAAATACAGAACACATTTTGTTTTAAAATTGTAAAAAAATAGCTTGTGATTTAAGTATAACATAATAAATTAAACAATACGGAATATCTTATAAGACTACATAATGTAACTACACAACAAATTGTAAATAAGGCTCTACACAATCAAGCTGGTCTTTAGTATTGAAACAATTCTGTGTCTAAAGATTTAAGACGCTCGCACGGAATGCAAGAGATTCTAATAATGTAATCCCTGTCCAAAAATATTTTTCGCAATATATAGAGTTATTTACAGATTTTAGGCTTATCGGCAGAAGATTAAGATCAGGCTAAGATATCTTATGAGCATTAATATAATTAAATTGCTTGTCAATTTAATTAGTGGCAAGCAATTTAATTGGTGATATTACTACTCTAGTTCTATGTTAAAGTTGCGTTTCAAGACTAAAAATAAATTTGTCGCGGTTTGTGGAATTATAAGGAAAAGCCCCTATAAGATACCAAGTTCATTTTGGGTAAATGCTAAAAATCTATGAGCAGAATTTAAAAAAATAATTGAAAAGAATTTAATAAGCTTTAAGATAATGTTATGTAAAATTTAATTAATTTTTTTTTTAAATTAAAGAAATGTAAAAGTGAGCAAATCGCAAAGTCAAAAAATTGTGCTCCTAATATGAGATACCTTGAAAAATCAATAATAAAACGCAAAGTACATTAGTATTGCAATTAAAAAACTTTATTTAATGCTTTTAAAATACTAACAAACACAGCCAGCGTGCGCGAAAAATGAACATGCAATGGATTATACCCAGAACTCGTTTTCAAATAATTGGAACCAAGCATCGCAGAAATACACACTTAATATACATTCCGATTGTTTTTTTTATTATTGTACGATAACATTAATACTTTAGCAACGATTTTCATTATGACATAAGAGCATAGGTTATTTCATATTAAAAGTATCCTAGGTATCTCATATTACGATTTTGCCTTACGGTTTTACTATTATCAAATCTAATCTTCTGCAATTAAGCATTTCAACATATCCCATATTTTTCTATTAATACAATTTTACTCTATCACTACATGAACAATTTATTGCCAAATATTTACTTATTAAATAATAATCAAGGTTTAAAGGCTCATCTTGTTGAAACTTGAAGACAAAATCCTAAAATCTTTTTTTACAATGACTACGGGTATGATCTAATAATGAATTTTGCACTAAATTTTCAATCCAAGAGCAATAAATTCATGATGGAACCAATAGATAGTGTTTATTAGTTTAGCAGAAACGCTACTATCTCATATTAGGCGCTTGTCTCATAATAGAGGGTTTTCTTTATGTATAAATTTACACAGAATTATTTCAACACTCAGGCTTCAACTTGACCATTTAGGGTCTTTATTTCCAATGAAATATAAAACAAAATTATAACTGTATTAATAAAAATAACACTGTTCGACATGAATTTTAGACCATGAATGGAACCAAGTTATTCTTACAAATTTTTTATTGCAGAAAATTTGTATATGAAATTATTCTATCATATCAGGTTTTCGAAAAAATGGAACCTGAAGATGTCAAAAATATTTTTAGGTATATTTGAATTATAATATCTAAAAAATGTGACGTAATAAAACAATTTTATTTATGAATTCGTTTTTAACAAAAAAATCTATACCAGTCATCTATTTTATTAACTGCTTTATTCAAGAAGCTATATACAATAAAAAGGAGAGAACTTAAATCTATAGATAGAAATGTAACACTTTGAAATCTGTTAATGCAATTTGAATAATCACCTGTTGTTTTGTATTTTTTATACTGGACTTTTTATATTTTTTTTTTATAATGGAAGGCAGAAAAATAATGTAATGTGCTATAATACTTTTATTTTTTTTTCCATAGAATCCAATAGTGCTCATTTTCATTCAAATCAAACTTTTGTTAATTGTTAAATTGTATTTGATAATTTTGATTTTATATTCATAATGAGCCACAAATCATTACATGCAAGTGATTCAAATTGCATAAGCAGTCCTTAAAAGACCTTGACAACACAGAATATTTATGATAAATATTTATTATTATTCGTTTTTTGAAATGTTATATAAAAATATTATTTACATATTTTATATAAATAAATTTAAAATATTATTAAAAGATAGATTAAATATGTCATGCGTTCGAATCAGAAAAGTCATGTACGACACACAGAAAAGAGGATGATTTTTGCATAAGCACGCGCGCGCGCGCACGCACACACTCTCTCTCTCACGCACGCACACACACACACACACACACACACGCGCGCGCGCGTGCGCGCACGCGACGTACACACATCTTCATATGAGATAAATTTGCAACAAGAAAAAAGAAAAACTTGTCCACGAAATCATCCGTGCCGAAACAGAATCGGCGATCTCTATCCTCTCTTATTATAAAATATTTAAAATAAGCCTTATAAATATTTATAAATATTTTGTGAATATTTTATAAATATTGTGTGCTGTCTGGGTATATATCTATAGGATTCCCTTAACTTTTCAGTGTAACTGTTGTTTCTTGTATAAAGCCACTAATAAAGTAGATTATTCTTATAGTTTTTACAGAAAACGAGTCTCTAAATAAAATTGTTCCATAATGTCACGTTTTCTCAAAAGATCACAAAAATCGCATTTTTGGCACATTTAGGACCAGTTGGTTAACTTTTAGGTTTAACTATTCCTCATCTCTTTTTAGTGTTAGGCCCAGATTCACAACTCATAGTTAACGCTTTAGCGCGGTTCAACTTGTTTCTCATCTTTTTCCAATTCTAAAATTGTGAAGAAACAATGAATAAGTTGAACTTCAGTTATGAATTAACCGTCAGTTGTGGAACTAGGCCTTAGAATTGGATAGAAGTAATAAATAAGAATTGAACCTCGGTTAAGAGTTAACTGTGAGTTGTGGGACTTCTGTGGGCCTTAGAATTAATTTTCTCAAAAACCTGACGTAATAGAATAATTTACGGATTCGTTTTTAGCGATCAAAAATCTATAAAAATCACTTAGTCTGGGAACAAAGTTCAAATTTGGGATAATTATAATAATGGAAAACACAGTTCCATAATTCCATACAGTTGTAGATTTTCTTGTATGAGGTATATAAAATTTATTAGTTATCGTAATTTTTATATAATTTCTAAATTATATAAAAAATCCTAAAATTATATAAAAATGTAAATACATAATAAATAATGCCTATATCAGTTTTTAGACAGTTAGTTAATTTTGCTAAGGACCAGGACGCTTGTGGAATGCTGGATCCAGATTTGACTCCCGGCCAAGGTAATATTTTTCATAATAAATTTATTTACAGATTTTTGATACATTAGACATTTTAATACATTTAATACATTAGAACCTTAAAATGATGCCAATTGTGCATCAGATTATTAAATTGTTAATCAATTTGATTTGTAATATTACTGTTTCAATTGCATTTCTAAGTCTGGAAAACCAATTCAGCGTGCAGTTTGATAGATTGCAAACGTAGTATATAAATTTACATGAAATTCTTTAAAACAATCAAGATCCAGCTTTGATCGATATAGGCATTGCTTTTTACTTATATTGTGTATTTACATTAAATTATACAGTTTTAATAAAAATGTAGCTTACCATTTTTTATAATGTTCTCTTGTGAATTTTAAGTTATTTCTGGTATACCTTCTGCAAGGACTATATTTTGAATACTGCAACGATTATTAACTATAACTAATTGTGAGATCTGCCGTCGCGAGTTGCGATCGAGTAAATTTAAGTATGGAGGCAAATCTTATATAATTTCTCTCTTTTGTTATCTTTCATATAAACATCTGGTAATGAACATCTTTTCCGAGAATACTTATGCAATATTACATAAAAAAGAAAGTTAAATTTATCAGAAAAATTAAAATTATCATCGGTGGTCATAAACAGTTTTACTGGACAATAAATCAAACATGTACATATAGTGGGTGATCCAGACCAGAGACCAGCTGGAGGAGCCGGCATGTATGTATATATTGTTTATGAAAATCTAAATCGAAAATTCCTTTACCTTTTCGCAATGGTTGCAATAGTTAACGAGATATTAATTTTTAAAAATTACCGAATTAGCGGATAAAATCGATGTATAAGACAATATTAAGATATATTTTTTAAAGTATTTTTATAAAATATTTCAAAGATATTTTTTAAAAAACAGTTAAAAATATCCTATGTCCTTGTCTTATGTCGATTTTAGATATATTCTACTTATTGAATAACTAAAAAAATTTGCGAAAATTGCAAAATGATAGAGAATTTTTCGATTCAGTTTTTCATAAACATTCCGGCTCCTCCGGCTGGTCTGGATCATCCAGTATATATATTTATTATGTAAAATTTTGTCACTTCTTTTTTTTAAATTTACTTTGTAAAAAATGTTTCATATATAATTATATATAAATGGTTGTACATATTTTTTGTAAATAAGTTATGTATAACCGTTTATACATAACTTGTATACATAACTTGTTGTATAATTGTGTATAAAAAGTT